AAAACAGGCGTGGCATGTGTAGCAAGAGTGGGATTAGATGTGTCCCAAACTATGGGGTTGACCAGAGAAAGAGGAAGGGGAGGGAATGGCTTTGCGATGCATTGTGAGGCTGTTTGGAGGATTAGGGCTGTGGGGAGAGAGAAAGTAAAGAAGTTAAGCTTTTGAAGAAGGTCTCTACCTAAAAGGGGTGTGGGACATGTTGGGATTACTAGGAAGCTATGGGTAAAGAAGAGAGTATGGAATGGACATGGGACAGGCCCAGTTTGCAAAGGCTGGGTAGGCTGGCTGTCAACACCCACAACAGAAATCAAGGACTTATTACAAGGTCCTGAAAATTCAGGAAGTACACTATAAGTTGCCCCCATATCTACAAGCAGAGATATTATCTTACCTGAGACCTCCAGTGAGACTTGGAGCTCCGACAAGGTTACTAAAGTGGGGGCTGTGAGCCCTGGGCCCCGTCAATCTTCCGCAGCAAGTCTGAGCAGATCAGTCATCGATGAATGTGGCATTGACAGAGTCTCCTGGGAGGGCAAGGAGTTAGAGAATGGCTTATCTGCTTGCTGGTGGCTAGGACAGTCACTCTTCCAATGGCCCTTAACGTTGCAGTAGGGACATGGCCCTAGGGGAATGCCAGGTTTGGGGCAATCTTTTGCCCAGTGTCCTTGTTTGCTGCATTTAAAGCACAGTCCAGGCAGGACTCGGGTAGCCACACCTTGTTTCAGATTTCTTGTCCTGGGAGCCCCAAGAGCTACTGGTAAGAGATCAGACTGATGTTTAGCAAACTTTATTTTTTGAGCTTGTTTTTCCTCTTTTTGAATTTTTTCTCTGTTGTTGAAGTCACGGAAAGCTAATTTAAAAAGATCCCCTTGTGGAGTTTGAGGGCCATGTTAAACCTTTTGTAATTTTGCACAAATATCAGGAGCAGACTGGGAAATAAAGTAAGAGTTAACAATAGTTATCCCTTCATGAGAGTCTGGGTTCACATTAGTAAACTTAATTAAGGTTTCCCGAAGCCAATTTAGGAACACAGCTGGGTTTTCATTAGCCTCCTGGACCTGTTCTAAAAGTTTGTTATAGTTAGTATGTTTATGAACAATCTTATTAAGGCCCACAGTTAGACACTCAATCATTTTATGTAATTTTGTTGAACCTTCTTCATTTTGATAGTTCCAGTTAGGATCTTGTTTTGGCACAGATGTAGGCTCAGGGTCATTATTGGCGGTATTTGCCTTATGTCTGCAGTCAGCTTCTTCTCGAGCTGCCTGCCACAGCTGAGTTCGTGCTTGTGAGCTGAGAGTGGTATTTAGAATCACATAGACATCCTTAAAATGTAAATCATAGCAATTAGTTATAAATTCAAATTCCCTGATACAATTCTGTGGGTCAGCAGATAAGCTACCTAATTTATGGGTAATCTGAGATAAGTCAGAAAGGGAGAAAGGCACATGTATATTAACAAGCCTCTCGGGGCCAGCTTGCTCCTGAAGTGGTAGCAGAGATTGAGGAAAAGATTGCAGAGTAGATGGCCATTGGGCAGCCATCATCCGGTAGACACGTGTGAGCAATTATCTGTAGAGTGGCTACAAAGCAGCTGCCGGTTAACATGGGACGAGGAAACACAGGTAGTTGGCGCCTCACTGTGTGCCTTGCAGCGATGAAATTGCTGTCCGCAGCACAGTGAACTGTCATGTGGTCCGCAACAGGGTGGCTGTTGCTGATCACAAGAGGAGCCACAAGGGAGCGGCCATTGACCGTAGATCCGTCCCAAGATGGCGGCACCCTTTCATGTGGTGGAGGGCCACAACATGGCGATGGTCCTCAGCACAAGCTGCAATAGTCACGTGGCCTGCCAGAAGGACATAGCGACCAAGACCTAGTATGGTCAGAAGGGGGTGAGAATGCTGTAGGGGACAGAGAATTTTCAGGAGAGCAAGAGATTGGAGACTGTGAAGAAGTGCTAACAGAGGGATTAGAGCTGCAAGAATTCTCAGGAGACTGTGAAGAAGCGCTGACAGAGGGATTAGAGCTGCTGGGAGAGTTATGGGTCCCGGGAGAGGGGGAGATAATGGCGAGGAATGATTTTGGGGGTAGGCAGGCGGCGGCCGATTAAAAACTGGGGGTACTTCGTCTAGCGGATCATGAGGGCTGGAGGGGAGAGTTTGCAGCACAGCAGAGTTAGCTAAAAGTTCCTGGGCGGGGTACAAGATTTAATGAGAGATGGGCCATCCTCAGAGCAAGGAAAGCCTGTATGTAAAAGATCTCTGTTAATTTGTTGCCAGTTTGGCAGAAATCATACAGACGTTTGAGAATACAGGGGTCAAATGTCCCCCCTTTGGGCCATGGACTGCGGGTAAGTGAGTAGGTCGGCCAAACCTCCTGGCAGTAAAAAATTAACTGTTTTAGTTTTTATGGTGCGTTTAATTTTAAGAGTACATAGATTGGAAAGTAAGCATTGGAAAGGCTTTTGGGAATTAGAAAAAGCATTTTCCATGACTAATTCAGGCAAGAAAAGAGCCGTGGTCCAGAGGTTGAGCCGGCACTCGTCCTGTGGCACCAAACGGCGGTTAGGATTCCAAAAACTCATATTTTCCCAGTCGTCACCAAGAGATTTACGAGTGGCTTCCACGTGGGTTCAGTAACAGTTCTGCCCATGAGAATGTGAAGCTCCGAGGGACGTGAGAGCCTTGCAGTGTGGGCTGGCCCAGGAAAACTCTGCCTTGGGCTATCTGAACCCAAAGGACGTGAGAGTTTTCCAGTGTGGACACAGGTTGCCCAGAAAGACCATGCCCTGGGCTGTCTTAAGGACGTGAGAGTGTCATGAACCCATGGAAAGGGGGGAGAAAACCTGCCTGGGGCTGAGCCCAGCACCGAAGAATTCTCCGGAGTTTGCTCACCTACAATTAATCGGGCTGGTGTTGTGTATGAGCTGTTGGTGACAAATTAAGCGGGTCCTAGGAGATGAAAAGCAGAGAATCCAGGATGTAATCTGGTTGTGAATCGGCTGGGGACTCGAACTGGGTGTGCCCCAGGAGTCAGTCACCTGCCGATCAAGTCATGGCACCAAATGATAAGATTATATTCAAAAGATGAGAAGTATAAAACAAAAGATGCCTTTATTCTGAGAATGTGGAAAGAGAAAACCAAAACACCCCCGACCGCTGGAGTCCAGCTTTCTGTCTGGTGGACACGTGGCGTAGGGGGTATATAAGTAGCCTCGGTTTGGGGTGGAACCTAAGGGGGCATTAGGGATGCACGGGTAGCCCATTGGTCTTTGTTTGGCGCCATAAGTAAATTCCTAGGGGCGAGGAAGATGGAGTCACAGGTAAATTCCTAGGGGAGATAGGAGCTCCTTGGTTCCACCTCTAAGGGTTCACCAGCTAGAGTGTTCTGTCTGGGCCAAAACTCTTCCAACTTCCATCTCTTGGCTTCAGTGGTACAGCTGTTAGCCACTTTTTCTCCATCTGTGGGCAAGCCCCTCTATCTGGACATTCTTTGTGTCTACCAGAATTCTGTCCTTGTCTCTAGTCCTTCCTTTCTAATCCCTGTTAGTGCTCGGGAACCTCAGAGTTCTAGTTCCTTTCTGAATGGCAGAGTTTATACTGTATTTAGGCTAAGAACCCCCAAACCTTTTCCCTAAGTTGCAGGCACGTATGGTATTATATGCCAGGCTCTGCTTGGCAGTATCCCAGCTCATTTGGATGCCTGGTGGGTGTCCCAGACATAACATACATGGGGTGCTAGAAAAGCACAGTGGATTTTTTGTTGTTGTTACTGTTTTCGCCTTTTGAGACAGGCCCTCGCTGTGTAGTTCAGATTGGCCTTGAACTCACTATGTACTCCAGGCTAACAGCAAACTTGCTTCAGTCTCCTAAGTTCAGATGTGTGCCACCAACCCTGGCCAGTGGATGTTTAGATTAGAATTTATTATATTAAATGACACAGCACCACTAATCTCTCTCAAAATATCCCCCTTGTTTCAGTCCCCATATCCTTCTCTCCTTGTCACTTTCTGAAGCAGTTCTGGAAGTCCTTTGTTGTGTATCTGTATACAGTTGATGTCCCAAAACGATTCAGAACATTTACTTTTCATGGTTATCTGACATTGGGCAAGAGCTAGAATTCGCATGGTGCAAGATTTGGTGAATGAAAGGGTAAGGACACACAGTGATGTTTTATGACCCTACCTTTCCCTTGGGTGATACTCAGTAGTAGTAGTCACTGTATTTTTGATCATACCACATAAAGGTGCGCCTGTAAGACTTCGAGAACTTTGGAAAGTAGCAAGAATGATGGCATAATTGTGTTTGAAGGGGAGTATTTTGAGGAAGTTAATGGCAATATGTCTTTTATTGTAACAGTTATAAAAACTTAAAACATTACCTTGTGTATTGATTAGTTCTTGTACCTAAGCATGTACAATTTGACCATACGTCCCCCTATATTTACTTTCTCTCTCGCTCTTCTCTGCTGCCTCTTCCTTCCTTATTTCTGGTCTTTCATAGTAATTGGCACCAGATAATTAGCCCAGAAACTTTGCTGTCATCACTGTTAGTACTTTTTTCATTGTAAATATTGTGTTTATCCTGTTGGTTGGCAAGAAAGCTTTTTTTTTTTTTTTAAACTATTTTCTAATTTGGTACCAGGAATCGAACTCAGGGCCTTGCACTTGCCAGGCAGGTGGCTGCTGAGCTACATTTCTGGCCCAACCATTATATTTTAAATATTGCCATAGTTACTGTATCATATTAGCTTTGTTTCCTGTTTTATTTGTATATTGGTTGTTCCCTCTTTTCCACACACAGGAACTATCAAACATTAAGTTTCATAAAGGCAGAGGGTGTCTGTTGTTCACTACTGTGTCTATACCTAGTAAAGGATCTGAAGCTTAGCACGTCCTCAGATTTTTGTCAATGAATGATTACTGTTCTTTGTACCTTTTCTCATCAGTCGTATGCAGTGAGTTAAATGGAATCACATGTTTGGATTTCTCTGTCTAGTTTGACTTCTTGGGATCTCCTTAGCTGAGTGAAAGCACATGTCCCGGTTGGTGACAGACGTGATGTTTCACCAGTTCCTGTCGATCATCCGAAGACAAAGGAGCAGCCCAAGATGGCAGAACTGGAGTTTGGCAAGAAGCAGCGCGTCGGCTGCCAAAGCCCATTCTGTCACCCTGCCTGCCCAGGCCCAGGTGGTCATCTGTGGGGGTGGAATCATGGGCACATCTGTGGCCTATCACCTCTCCAAGATGGGGTGGAAGGACATCGTTCTTCTGGAGCAGGGCAGGTAAGGACCAGGCTAGGTGCTGATGGCTCTGATGGCATGGGCCAACCCCATTCTCGCTCCTTTCCTTGCTAATGTCCCAACCATAACCAGTCTAAGTGTTGCTCAGTAGCATGAGAAGAGTCAAGATGAAATGTCCTGCACTTTGTTTAGGAATTGGCTAGTGCTTGTGTTTTGGGCATTTTAGAGCTGTCAGATCTCAACAAATCATTTGTTTTAAAAAGGATGTGTTTTTGTGTGCTAATAGCACATCTTATCTTGATATCTTTGTGTAATCATCCAGCAGCATAAACCCTACGATTTGTGAGCTGATACCAAAGTGGCTACAGAATTTCTGTTACTGTTTTTTGTTTAATTAACCAACTTTAGAATGTGTCCAGGTTTGTAGAAAAAAATATGAAGATTGTACAGAATTCTTACTTACTTTACACCTACATCCACTTTTTTTTTTTTTTTCATAGCACTGGGGATCGAACTCAGAACCTTGCACTTGCCAGGCAAGCGCTTATGCCACTGAACTAAATCCCCAACTCTCCATATCCACTTTTAATTGATATCTTACTCTGAGTGTTTCAGTTAATAAGCCAGTATGCATCCATTAGGATTAACAAAAATCCATACACAAAAATCCATACTGTGTTCATATTTTTTTTGAAAGTTTTTAAAATTTTTTTATGAACAAAGAGTTAGCCTGGTGTCTTTCAGTGTACGTCCTGGATAATGCATTGAAGGAAGATCACTTGGTCCAGCTGGTGAAGCTGTAACCTTCCTGTCCTGATGGGAACACTGGTGGCTCAGGTTGAGGCCAGATTTTCATATCAGACCCTGTTGGTTTGAGCACAGGGCAAGAGCCAGAGCCCTGGCCGAGGCTCCTTAGGTGGCTCCAGTAGAGCTGCTGGTGACCCATGTTGCTTCCAAAGGCCCAATGAGGCAAAAAGAAAAAAAACCCAAAAACTTGTATTTACATTTTTAAACTTTTCCCCTAATACTCCTTTTTCTGTCTTTTGCTTAAATTATGTTTCCTCAGATTCCTCCTGGCTGTGATGGTTGTGTGGTTTTGTTTCCTGTTTTGTTGGGGGGGGGCTAGAAATTGAATCCAGGACCTTTATACTGATCTACATTTTTAAATTAATGTTAAATATTGAGACAGGGTCTTACTCTAAATCACAGTCACAATCTAAATCACAGTCACAAAGTTGCCTAGCCTGGACTTGAATTTTTGATCTTCTGGCCTCAATCTCCTAGAATGCTGGGATTACAGCTATGTGTTGCCACACCAGGCTTGAATGATTTGAAAATGGTTGTAAAGATCACAGAGAGGGAGGGAGAGAGAGAGAGAGAGAGTGAGAGAGAGTTGCTGAGAATTAAAAGGCCTTGTGCATGCTAGGTAAGCATTTTATTACTGAGCTATACCTCCCACCCCACAATATACGCTGTTATCAGTCTGTTGTGAATTAATTTTATACCACCACACAGATGTTAGACATACCACGGATAATTCCACTTACCCCTTTTGTCCTTTACACTATTTTTTTTTTTTTTTAAGACTAGTCAAGTGCAGTAGTGAGAAGGGGGGAAAGAGTAGAACAAGGAGTTCAATCTGTACTGACTGTGAACAATCAATTGAGATAACTCACTACCTTCGGACCAGCCCTTTATGCTATTGTTATTGTACTTCTGTGTATGTTGTAAATCCCATAATTGGTATGCTTGCATTAAATACTGGGCGTTTGGGGCTGGGGATTTAGCTCAGTGGCATAAGCGCCTGCCTTGCAAGCAGGCAGTCGTGAGTTCGATCCCCGGTACCGATAAAAAGGAAAAAGACAAAAAAAAAAAAAAAAATACTGAGCGTTTATTTATTTGACAGGGTCTCACCATGTAGTTCAGGCTGGCCTCAAATGTACTAGTATGAGGTTCTGAATTCAATTCCCAAGACCAAAATGAAATTTTAAAAAATTATTAGGCATGTTCTACCCATAAAAACTGTTAACGTGTTTCAGTATAAATAGTTCTTGGTGCAAAACCTTAGGGACATTCATTTTCTAGTTTAATTTGTTGATCTAATATTCAATACCTTAGAATTGACCTAACATAGCCAGGCATGGTGGCACACTCCTGTAACTCCGAAACTTTGGAAGCAGAGGCAGGAGGATCGTTGCAAGTTTGAGACCAGTCTGGGCTACATAGTGAGCCCAATGTCAGTTAGAACTATGTAGCAAGACCCTTTTCCCCCCACTTGCCCAAAAATTGACCTAACAGACTCTGTAACTCTGATGTTTTAAAATAATTACACCTTAGCCAGACATGGTGGCACATTCCTGTAATCCCAGCACTCAGGAGGCTGAGGCTGGCAGATCATTGCAAGTTTGAGACCAGCCTGGGCTATAAAGTGAGCTTAGAGTCAGTCTGAACTGCATAAGGAGACCCTGTCTCAAAAAAGACAAAAAATAAATAAGTAAATAAATAAAATATACCTTGACAGTAGCTTGTGAAATACTTTCCCACTTCCTTTAATAATCATAGTCCCTCTTCTCTGTCATTACTACTCTCCCTCTCAGGGTGGTCCAGAATGTTGCCTATGCATTAGAGTCACTTGGGGAGCTTAAAATACATTCAGATTTCCAGAACAAACCAGAATCTGGCAGTGAGGCCCAGCATCAGTATGTTCAGAAGCTTTTTACTTTTTTTTTTTTTGGTACCAGTCATGGAACGCATACCCTTGCGCTTGCCAGGCAGGCACTTATTCCGCTGAGCTAAATCCCTGGCCCTCAGAAGCTTCTTAAGGGACTCGGGTGCATCCCAGGGAGAGAGCCACTGTCAAGGCCACCAGGTGGGTGCTGGCCAGGCATAGACAAGCGCCCTTCCCAGTACAGCTTTGCACAGTGGCCATGTGTTAGTCAGATGATAGAAGAAGCATTTGTCTTTTTTTTACCCTTAATAGTAGGGCTTGAACCCAGAGCTTTAGGCATGCTAGGCAAGGACTCTACTCTTGAACTGCATCCCAGACCCCTGCTTTTTTTTTTTTTAGAATTTTACAGTATTTGTCCAGGCTGGCCTCAAACTTGCTATCCTCCTGCCTCACCCTTCAATGTAGCTGTGATTCTAGGTTGTGCCACTACTCCAAGGAAATGTGTCTTTCTTTAGGGAGCTAATAACTGACACAACTAGAATTGTTTTTTTTTTTTTTTAAGTTTTTGTTTTGTTTTGTTTTGTTTTTTATTGGTACTGGGGTTTGAACTCACGACCATGTGCTTGCAAGGCAGGCACTTATGCTGCTGAGCTAAATCCCCAGCCCTACAACTAGAATTGTTAAGAATAAACTCATTGAACTCCATTTGCACCAACACAGGCGATCACTTGTGAGTCTAAGTAATTTGGAGGAAAAGACCTGCTTACCACTCACCTGCTTACCTGATGCTTTGTAGAGCGAGGTATTTGGGCTCAAGCATTGCTGGAACGTTCTGTGTTCTGTCACATGCCACAAGTTGGAGAGCATTTTTTCAGTTTATATTTTATTTGTGGAAAGGCAATACATTTATATGGTTCAGAATTAAAAATATGTAAAGAGTGTAGAGCAAAAAAGTCTCCCTCTCATCCTTGATCTCTGACTACAAGTTTCCTACCCTAGAAGCAAGTTAAGTTCCAGGTACATTCCCTGCGCAAATACTATAAGCAGATGGGTATCACTTGGCATGTGATCTATATCTATATCTATATATATATGTTGATTTATTTTCCCTTTTATATGAGCTGTAACAGACTTCAGCACTGCTTTTTACTTTCTTTTTTCACTATGATTATCCCATGTTAGTGTAGAAATTCCCTTTTCTTTCTGTGTGGTATCCCACTATGTACATGATCTCCAAAATCTTTTTTTTTTTTTTTTTTTGTCTTTTTCTTTTTTATCGGTACCGGGGATCAAACTCACGACTGCCTGCTTGCAAGGCAGGCGCTTATGCCGCTGAGCTAAATCCCCAGCCCCGATCTCCAAAATCTTTATCAGTCTCACTCAGTGTATAGCTGAGTTTCTTTCTTTTTCTTCCTCTGTCTTTTGTCTCTCTTCTTTCCTGCCACTTTTTCTTTCGGGTTGATTCTGGAGATCAAAGCCAAGCTTCATGGGCACTGGCTGAGTAAGTAAACTCAGGCCTATTTCCATTTTCTGATATTACAGATAATACTGTAATGAGGAACCTTGAATTTGTATTCATAGATACCTGAGCCTGCCTAATACCATTGTGCACCCATCCATCCTGCAGGCTGGCCGCTGGCTCTACCAGGTTCTGTGCTGGCATCCTGAGCACTGCCAGGCACTTGACCATCGAGCAGAAAATGGCAGACTATTCAAACAAACTCTACCAACAACTAGAGCAAGAAACAGGGATCCAAACAGGTAAGCAAGTGATTTGCTATTTACTGTTCTGCCTGACCCCAGACTCTTAGTATTTATGATATCTGGTCTTATACTAGGTTTGTCTGTGGTTTAGTCCCTAAGACTTGGATTTTAGTCCAGCCTGTGCTACCAGCCAGGGTCTTACCAAGGACAAGTCACAGAGGTTACTGAGTTGTCTTTAGTTTCCTTGTCTTTAAAATGAGAGAATCCAATCCCATTTTTTTTTTTTTCTGATCCTGTAATTCTTTTTTTTTCTCCTGTTGCTGGGGCTTGAACCTAGAATATAATTCCTGGGCCATTTCCTATGTATTTTACTCATGTAAATATAGAAAATGGCAATAGTTGCCTCCTGAACAAAGAGGAGAATTTAAGTTCAGGTATTTGACAGTTAAGGCATAGTTTAACCCACTGACGTTCCAATTACTATTATAAACCACAGACATATGTTTCTTGTTATTTATGTAATTAGAAGGGAAAGGAAAAAGGGAATTATTATAAGTTAAACAGCACCAAGATAAGTAGGAACTGTTTGAGGAACAGGAATCCTAGTCAGTAGTGTGATTCCATTTGATAATAAGTGGAAAGAGAGACAGACAGTTTGTCACAAAGTGATGGATTAGCCAGAAGCCCAAGCCATGCCCACCTGCTGTCTTGGCTGATGAAACCACTTTGCCTTGCCTCCCTCTCTGCCATGTCCTCTGGTGGTGACATCAGAGGATACCCTGCAGTGTCACTGAATTTGGTCTTACTTCCTCTTGAGACAAAGACCCTGGAGGGAATTTAGTAAAAGTGGTTCTGTTGTATTGTCTGAATCTTTGTGGAAGATCCCTGCTGCAGCCTGGGCAGGAGGGAAATAGGCCCTTTTAGATAGGCTGAGTTTGATGTCAACAGGGTACTTGAATTATTGTATCAACTAGGGTTTGAACTGCAGGAGAGTCCACAGAATGGCCTAGAGATGGTGTAGCTAACTTCCTGTTCACTGGTCCATATTTAGTATTTTGGTGAGCTTAGCATTAGTCACTTGGCTCCATTTCCAAGGGATCTGGGTCATAGCCTTCCTCTCTGACAGACTAGTCTGCTGCTACTTCTAGGTCACAGCCTAGAACCCTTGCTTTGTCCTGACTGTTTTTGATGCCTGTGGGACAAGTTGGGTATGGGTATGGGGAGCAGATAGGAAATCTGGTGAGGGAGTGTAAAGGTATTGTCCACATCTGTCACTCCCATCCTAGGACCACTGACACAGAGAGCCTGGGGGCTTCAGTGACACAGAGCTTTCTCTGTTAACCCGTGCTGTGTGCATCTGCACTACCATGAGAAGTGTTACTGCCTCTTTGTATGTGGTGCTGATGATTGGAGGACCTTTGAACTGAATTACATTCCCAGCCAAAAAGAAAAAAAAATTTTTTTTTGAGATAAAGTCTCACTATGTAGTTCAGGCTGGCCTTGAATTCTTCATTATGTAGCCCAGGCTAGCTTCAAACATGGGGCAGTCTTCCTGCTCAGCCTTCTGACTGCTGGATTATAGTTGTGCTTCATGGGTACATGTGTGTGCATGTGTGTGTTGGGGGAGTACCAGAACTGAACCCCAGGCCTTTCTAAGTGCTTTTACCTCTGAGCAACATCACCAACCTACACAGGCATAGAAACAGTAATACATGTTTTTTTTAGATACAGCAATATTAAGCTGGTTTTTCTTTTTCTTTCTTTGGTTTTTTTTTTTTTTTTTTTTTTTTGGTCTTTTGTTTTGCTTTGTTGTTTTTGGTACTGGGAATTGAACTTATAACCTTGTGCTTGCCAGGCAGGCATTTATGCTGCTGAGCTAAAAACCTGGCCCTGTTTTGCTTTGTTTTTTGGAGACAGGGTCTTACTGTGTAGTGTAGGCTAGCCTTGAACTTGCTTCTGTAGCCCACACTGGCCTCAAACCTCAAACCTGCCTCCACCTCCCAAGTGATGGGATTCTTAGTGTGCACCTCCACACCCAGCAAGCTAATTTTTCTGCACATAATCTCAACATTTAGGCAGAGGCAGGAAGTTAGGAACTCAGGTCCAGCTTAGACCTGTTTCAAAAAAAGAAAACATAAGAAATAAAAATTTTAGACATATCTGCTATGCTGTAATAAATATATTATAATACATGAGTAGTTACATAGCTTTATCCTCTGTGTAATATACGTTGTGTAATAAATGGGAACAATGTAGACATAAAAATTGGAAACTTTCTCCCTATTGAATACCCACCAAAAGACTTAATAGGAATTGAACCCAAGGCCCTTTGCACTGAGCTATATCTATAGTTATTCTTTTTTTACTTTCTAAGTTTGGAAACGCACATGAAAGGAGTTTTATCCCACAGTTCCCAGTTCTAAATTGCCCAGGCTCTTGTACCCATAGTGGTGGACTTATCAGCATATGCCCTATGATTGACTTTTTTTTTTTTTTTAGTGTGTCTTATATAGGTTCATATGTTAAAAACTAAAAATCTATTAAACATGTTATTATAGATCTTGTTTTTTTCTACCTAATGTTTTGTACCAAAATATACATGCAGACTATTACAACATGTAAGTATATGTGTAAGGCTACAAAATTGAATGCAAGAGCTGGGTATGGTGGCACACACCTGTAATCCCAGCACTCAGGAGGCTGAGACAAGAAGAATCCCTAGGAGTTTGAGGCCAGCCTGGGCTACAAAGTGAGCTCCAGGGCAGCCTGAGCTGAATAGTGAAACCCTGTCTCAAAAAGACCAAAAGAAGGGGCTGGGGATTTAGCTTAGTGGTGTAAGCGCCTGTCTGGCAAGTGCAAGGTCATGAGTTTGATCCACAGTACCAAAACAAGACCAAAAAGAAAAAACATTGAATGCAGACTAGTTTATAAGATAGTACATTACACACAAGACTACTAGATAGGTGAAATAAAATGAGGAGAATATCTCTGAACTGCTATGGAATGACTTCTGTGATATGCTGTTAAATAGAAAAAAATAAGAAAATACGTGAGGAGGGGTTGGGATGTGTTTAGTGGGGTTTGATCCGCAGCACAATCCCCACCTCATATACAACAGGCATCCATTTCTTTTTGCAGAACAGAATCACATAGAGGATAATGCAGAAGCTACTTTAAAAAATGACTGATTCTTGGGGAGGGCAAAAAAAAATAATGGAGTAATGAGCCTGCAATTTCTACTGGGCCAGAAACTAAGAAAGTGATGGAGAGATGTCAGAGATTCATAGGACCAGCTGGAAGGGACCTCCTAGGGGGCAAGTCTGGGATCATTTGAGCAAGAAAATAGATGAGAGCAGTGGATTATCACAGTGCACAAAATAGGAATTCACAAGTCTGTATTGATAAAATAAGAACTACATGAAGAAGACAGGAGAACTGTAAGCAACACTATTTAACCTTGTAGTCATTTCAAGCAAGAATTACAATTTCAAAGGCCTGGTGTGGTAGCACATGCCTTTAATGCTAGTACTCAGAAGGCTGAGACAGGATTGCTGTGAGTTCAAGTCCAGCCTGAACTGCAAAGTGAATTCACAGCCAGAACTTGGGCCAGGGGTTTAGCTCAGTGGCATCAGTGCCTGCTTGGAAAATGCTAGGTTGTGAGTTTGATTCCCAGTACCAAAAAAATAAGAGAGACCAGCCAGAACTCCTTAGTGAAACTCTGTCTCAAAAACACACACACAAACATTTTAGAGTGTACAGTCCTCTCTACCAGACTTTTTGGTCACCATCGTGGACACGAGTTGTGTGCATCCCATCAAGCTGCCTAAGGTTGTCAAAGTGCTGGACAGGAGCAGCTCACAGGGACAGTGCACACAGGTGCACATGGAATTCAGGGACGACATGAGCTGCCTGACAAGTGCGAGATCAAGTGGATCCCGATGTACCTTGATCTGGTCTCAGTTCTGCTTTTTCTTACAGGCTACGTAAGGACAGGCTCAGTCTTTCTGGCCCAAACACAAGACCGGCTGATCTCCCTGAAGCGCGTCAACTCAAGACTGAAGTATGTAAGAGGCCAGATGGCCTGTCCTGACCCTACCAAAGTGACTTCCACCAAAGGGCCCTTGCATGTCATTGTCCCCTTGTGTTCTGTGGCAGTGTTATAGGGATCCCTTCTGAGATCATCTCCCCAAAGAAAGTGGCTGAACTGCACCCTTTCCTCAACATGCACGACCTGGTGGGGGCCATGCACGTTCCTGAGGATGCAGTGGTGTCCTCCGCCGATGTGGCCCTGGCCCTGGCAAGTGCCGCCTCCCAGAATGGTGAGCAGGCTTTTGCGTTTTCCTAACATGGGTTTGGAAGGACGAGGTTATTTAAGAAAGTGACTACAGTACACAGTGACACCGACTCAAGTTGGAGAGCATCTTCATTGGGGTATTCAGCTTTCTGTTTTTGAATACTGGATCTCATGATTTTTAATAAGCATTTTTCCTTATCACATTTTTCAGGAACTACTTTCAGTACTAATTAATGCATCTCAGATTCAAGGGAACCCCCCATCTCCTAGACTTGAGATGTTCCAAGGTTAAAGCATAGCTGGAAGTCGTGCCCTGGAGTTGGAATGAATGAAGGGAGGCTTATTAGTGACCAGGGGGTCCAACTTACTCATGATGTGGACAGATAAGGTTTAGAAACTGCTGTTTGAACTCTTTTTCCCCCTGTTCCACGTTTGAGGACTCCCAGAATTTACTGTGTATTAAAGTCTGTTCTTAAGTTAACAAGCTATTTTAAGTCTTGGCCAGTAGGTATTTATAGCACGTCAGGACATAATTCCTTTTTTTTTTTCTCTTTTTGAGACAGGGTCTCACTGTGCAGTTCAGGTTGGCCTTGAGCTCACTTTGTAACCTAGGCTGATCTTGAACTCGCAGTGATCCTCCTGCCTCAGCCTCCCAAGTGCTGGGATTACTGGCATGAGCCACCACATCTGGCTGGATTCTGTTTTTGAAACCGAAACACTGATTACTCCTTCAGTGTTTCTTTGATTACAGAATGTGCTGTGGATGTCTTAATTCTGGGTAGCAGATGATGTACCAACTCTCTTTATCTTGGGACAGGTGTTCAGATTTATGACCGAACAAGTGTTCTTCATGTAATGGTCAAAAAAGGTCAAGTTACTGGTGTGGAGACAGATAAAGGACAGATTGAGTGCCAGTATTTTGTCAACTGTGCTGGTCAGGTAGGTTAACAGCAGTACTGGGTTGTTTGTTTTCCTATTTAACTTGGATTTTTGGTGTAGAGATACTTTTTTTTAATGTTTCAGTACTGGGAATCAAACCCAGGGAACACTGAGCTCCATCCCCATGGCCTCAAACTTTTGATCCTCCTGCCTCAGCCTCCTATGTAACTGGGCTTTCACCATTCCTGACCTTTTGAATCTTTCTGTGGTTTTATAGTTTATTCTAAACCTTGCAGTTAACATACTAGGCTGTTCTATTGTTAGGACCATGGGTTGTTTCCAGTACACTAAACTGTGTCAACTTTTGGAGCAGATTGGTCCCTTTCCTCCACTCTGTAGTCTAAAGGTGACCTAGAATATAGTTTTTGCCATGTGAAGTTCATTTAAGGGTTGGTAGTTGGGGCTTAGAGTTGAGAGCAGGTAGTTTATTAAGAGGGTCTCCTTTGACTGGCTTGTCAGTCTGTCTTCCTTTGAATAAAGTCATTTTTGCGGTTTCAGAAGTACAGTGTTGCTCCCCACGTAAATACTTGCACTAAGCAAAGCAGGCTGAATCTTGGCTTCCCGCACTGCCACTGTAGCAAGAGCACACAGAAGCCGCTTGAAATTAATCTCTTTTCAAGAGGCTAAACTTGTTCACTTGTGTTTCTGTTCCTCTTCCCACCCCCAATCAATCTGTCCATTTGTAGTGGGCATACGAGCTGGGTCTGTCCAACGAGGAGCCGGTTAGTATCCCGTTACATGCCTGCGAACACTTCTACCTTCTGACTCGCCCCTTGGAGACCCCTCTGCAGAACAACACACCAAGTGAGGACTTGTACTTTTTTGCAATCCTATCTCCTTGCTAGTATCCTGTCCTCTGAAAAGGAAGACTTTCTGCTAAGGACAGATCGTGCCTGAAAGAGTCTTTTCTGGAGCGTGTTACAGGGAGGCGGACCCAGTTCTAACTTTTCTCTGATAACATTGAAAGGCTGGCCCACGTGGGCATGCCGCTAAGCAATTTTTTGCTTCTGTTTTTTGCCAGTTTAATTCTAATTCCAGGTCATTGAGACTATTTGGGATGCAACTTTGAGTTTTTAATTTGAATGCTATCAGGGTAGAAATGTTGGAGGTGAATCGTGAACTTGGGTAGTCGAGTGGCTCCCAGCACTGGAGGAGAGGGTTGTGATGTCATGTGGGGGTCTTAGACCTCCAAGGGCTGTGCAGTGCCCTGCCTGTGAGACTCACTTGGCACAGTGGCAGTCCTATAGTTTAAGAGTGAGGGCTTGGCAAAGTGTCTAGTTCCTGATAAGGGCAGAGACAGCTGGAGAACCCATCTCTTCTAACTTTGTGTGCATTGATCCTCCTGGACTTCCAGAGGTGTGTGAAAGGTAACAGATGGCTGTGTGGATTGGATGCCATTTCATTAGTAAAGCTGTCATGGGTGTTGTTTCTATTTAGCAAGCTGGTTGCCTCTAAATCTGTTTTTCTCGTGTACCCCTATTCCCGTGTCATTTTTTATCCTCAGCTATCGTGGACCCTGATGGAAGAATATATATTCGGAACTGGCAGGGTGGCATCTTGTCTGGGGGCTTTGAGAAGAACCCGAAACCTATTTTTACTGAGGGCAAGAACCAGCTGGAAATTCAGAATCTACAGGAAGACTGGGATCATTTTGGTATGTGAAGTAGAGTGTAACAGTGTCAGCTGGGTGTAGTGGCACATGCGTGTAATCCCAGCACTCAGGAGGCTGAGGCAGGAAGATCACTGAGTCTGGGGGTCAGCCTGGGCTGCATAGTGAGTTCAAGACTACCCTGAATTGTACAGTGAGACCCTATCTCAAATGAGAGAGACCCTATTATTTCACAAATAAATGAAAATTTTTTTTAAAAAAGAGCCTTTTATTTGTTAAGATGCTATATTTACTTCTAGCCTTTTACTGTCTTGCTTCGTTTAGTTTTGTTTTTCTCTTTAAATAAATAAAAAATTTTTTTAAAAAAGATGCTATATTTTCCTAAGAATTTTCAAGAATTATTATTATTGGGGCTGGGGATTTAGCTCAGCGGCATAAGCGCCTGCCTTGCAAGCAGGCAGTCGTGAAGTTCGATCCCTGGTACCGATAAAAATGAAAAAGGCAAAAAAAAAAAAAAAAAAGAATTATTATTATTATTATTATTATTTTTTGAGATGAGGTTTCACTATGCAGTTTAGGCTGAACTCAGTCTCACAGTGATCTCATGCCTCAGCCTCTCCTCCTGTGTGCTGGCACTATAGGCGTGTGTCACCATGCCCAGCTGCTTTTTGTTTTGTACTGGAGGTTGAACTGAGGGCCTTAACACTGAGACTGGTTTTACTGTTTTTTTTTGAGATAGGATATTGCTAAATTGCCCATGCTAGGCTTCAATTTGGGATCTCCCTGCCTCAGGTTCCCAGAATGTTGGGATTACAAGTGTACACCACCATACTTGGTTGAAAACATTGTTTTTCATTAATGTTCTTCAGGTACCATATAAGAACCTTCCCGTTCCTGCTGAGTCCTTTGAGACTACTGTCTCTGCCCCCGTTTACTACTTGCTATCCTGTGCTGCCTTTCCTTTCTACAGAATGTTTTCCTCAGTCTTTATGGCAAGCATTTTGCAGGTGTGTACTGCAATTTCATCAGCTTTGTTTTGATAAAAGACTCAATTAACTGGCTGTTAGAAAAATTCCTTCCAAGAGACTGAGAAGAGAGGTGGAAGGGCTTGAAATGAGTTTTTAAACTCTGTAGAGCTGAGGACTGTGTTTGGATTTGTTTTTATTGCTCAGAGCCCCTGTTGAGCTCCCTCCTGCGTCGGATGCCGGAATTGGAGACACTGGAGATCATGAAGCTGGTGAACTGCCCCGAGACCTTCACGCCGGACATGAGGTGCATCATGGGCGAATCCCCTGTGGTCCGTGGCTACTTCGTCCTAGCAGGGATGAACTCTGCTGGCCTGTCCTTTGGTGGAGGAGCTGGAAAGTAAGTCTCCTCATGCCGCATCAGCTCTGAACACAGTAGCTTGTGAGCCTCTGCCCTGCTAGGGTTACCTGTTAGTGTGTTATGTAATATATTTCACCTGCAATGTTAGGATATATAGTTTATATGTATGATGATAATGATAAATATCAAATGATTTGATTTACCACTTTTGAAGACGTCACCACGAGAAGTTATCCCTGTATTCCAGAAATGTCACTCTCGAATCTGTTCCAGAAACTCCTCTTTTGAAGTCAACCCAATAGAGTCTATTTTTTCATTAACTATATTGATTTTTTGAGTGTATATTTTTAGGTTTACAAGTAGCCAGGTGTGGAGAGTGAGGTAGGCTATCAAACTGGTTAATATGCTTTAATTTAAAATTTTATGTACTAATAAAAATATGCCAGTTACCAAGGGATACAAATACTGTATAATTCTAGTCCCTGGAATGATCACCTCCCTAGAGACAGCACAGCAGCAGTTGTCAGGAGAGGAGGGACTGAGAATTCATTGTTTAAGTGGTACAGTTTCAGTTCTGTAAGACCAAGTGTTGTGGAAGTGATGGTGGTGATGGTTTTACAACTGTGAATGTACTTAATGTTACTGAGTAGCAGCACCCTCAGCAAGTTACGGTGATACTTTTTGTATGTACAGTTGATCCTTGAACAATTTGAGGTGTAGGGGTGTCAGCCCTTCCACATAGCTGTAAATCCATTAAGACATACATACATATATACATAGACACATAGATGCACAAATACATTTTACTTAGCCGAACTAGGGAACTGAACCCAGGGCCTTGGCACTGAGCTCCGTCCTCAGCCCTTTTTACGTTTTGTTTGTTTGGAACAACATCTCACTAAATGCCTGGGCTGGCCTCAACTTTGTGATCTGCCTCTCTCAGCCCCTAAATAGCTGAGCTCTAAGTGTGCACCACTGTGCCAGGCTTGTAAATTTTTATTAGAAATTAAAAACAAAGTTCTGAAAAATCTCAGCCTGACCAGATACAAAACAATTTTAAAAACCTTTAAAAACTCTTACACAGTGAGAAAAGCCAGACTTTTTACAAATTCTATGTTTAGCTGGGCATGGTGGTGCACACCTGTAATCCCAGCACTTGGGAGGCTAAAACACCTTTTCTTTCTTTTTTTTTTTTTTTTTTTTTTTTTTTTTATCGGTACTAGGGATTGAACTCTCAACCGCCTACTTGCAAGGCAGGTGTTTATGCCGCTGAGCTAAATCCCTATCCCTTTTTCTCTTTCACATCAAGCTCTGGTCTCATTTCTTGCACTCAGAAGGGGTCTTCATGGCAGGCTAGCCACCAAATCCCTCTTCCTCAGTGTCAGTCTGTTGACAAAGCCACATCCATTTCCTATACTGAACCACACCAAGGCTACCAGCCACCACTCCTAGCACTGGGCTTGCTGTGGGCAGAGCTGCGGGTGGATGTCTGCTGCCTCCTGCTTACCGTGCGATGGCAGTGACAGCTGCCGTAGCTGTGGCAGTGGCAGCTCTCTTGCGCCACAGACACTGGCCCCAGCAATGGGAGGCTGCTCCGAGGTGAATTCCCTGTGTGACGTTTAACTCTCCAAAAAACCTACTGATGGCCTGTTGTTGGCCAGAAGCCTTATTGAAATCCTAAACCGTCAGTTAACACTTTTTGTACGTTACTTGTAAACAGGGAAAGTACTCAGGAACCAGGAGATAGCTTTTTTATTGAGGTTCTGGGTCCTCAAGCTGATGCTAAGAAAGGAGCAGCGTCTCAGGTGTTTTACGTGGATACTCCCAGTAGCATGAGGAGGTGGCTATGCAATTATCAGTTAATGAAGTGAATTTATGCAGTTACTGTTTAATACTACATCTTGACATTTGTTTATGTCTCTCTTGACTGTGAATGGCACCATGTATGGTTTGTTTAGGAATGTTAAGTATTAACCTTTAATAATAGATTCGTGTTTATGGTAGTAAATGATAAAACAGACTTATCTATGTTCATGAGAGCCTTTTTCTTAATTTTTAAAAATATATCTAGATGACATGGTTCTTCAGAGAGGTTTTTCAGATATTTTGCAAATCTCCAAAAAAATCTGTATATAAGTGGATCTATGCAATTTAAACCAGGAGTTAATTGAATCTTAATTTTAAAAAGCTTTCTCGCCAGGCGTGGTGGCTCACGCCTGTAATCCCAGCACTCGGGAGGCTGAGGTCGGAGGACTGTTGCGAGTTCGAGACCAGCCAGGGCTACAAAGTGAGCTCAAGGCCAGCCTGAACTGCATAGCAAGACCCATCTCAAAAAAGACCAAAAAAAAAAAACCTTTTTCAATGAGTAAGGCTGGTTTTCTTGTGAAGAGCTCTTGCAGAACAGCTCTAAAACAGTGACAGGAGAACATCTGGAGTGGGGCATGTGATCAGATGGCATCCTGAGCTACTGCTTTACAGAAAGCAGCATGTGTAAATAAGAGTACGTGTAGATGTGTGGACTTGTTTCTTCATAGATGTGGTTTAGGTCTTAAACATTTTCTAGGAACATAATTAGCACTAAAATCTTCCTAATGGTTCTATGATTATAGTCTTGGATCTCTGTTTTCGCATGAAAAATTTAGTAAATTGTACCCCAAATTGTTCACTGTCCGCAGCGACATAAGCAATTTTGATTCTATACTGGTTCTTATTTTCCCCTTTCTGTGCTGGGGACTGAACCCAGGACCTCATGACTGTTGGGCAGGTACTGTGTCACTGAGCTACGTGCCCAGCCCTCTGCTGGTTCTTGATCTGTGGAACATTGTTTTTACCTTCTTGTGTCTACACCTGAGGCAAGTTTAGAAGGAGGTAACAACTAGGGGAGGAGGGAAGAAGTGATTTAAGTAAGTTTGCTAGCAAATGACAGGTTAATGAGGAACGTTTTTATCCTCTTGTGCATCACATCTAAGCCTCAATGACATTTGTCCCCCATCTAAACAGGTACCTCGCAGAATGGATAATACATGGTTACCCGTCAGAAAACGTCTGGGAATTAGACTTGAAGCGCTTCGGAGCCCTCCAGAGCAGCCGCACCTTTCTGCGGCACCGGGTCATGGAAGTGATGCGTAAGTGAAGCTTCACCCTCGCTGCTCCTAGCTGCAGGTATCTTTCAGGTGGCCTGTGTTACCATTCAGGACAGATTTTTTCCTTAGTTCCTTAAATGATCTGAATTGGGCATTTGATTTCAGGCCTGGGATGTGGCCTTATGCCCCAGGTGATACTTATAGAACACTGCTCGTATATGGAACCTTGTTATTTTGGGGAACAGGAAAGTAGAGTAGGGTTTATAGGTGCTTTGCAGGCGCTTCCTATATTTTCCTAGCAGTGCCTCCTTTCTGGTTTGCCTTGAAAAGTCCCCACTTGGGGGTTTTTATTTTCAGTGTTGGGGATCAAGTCCAGGGCCTTGCGTATGCTAGGCAGATGCTCTAACACTGAGCTATGTTTCCAGGCCCGCAGCCCCCAGCTCCTTCTTGGTTTTTGAGATCACTGTTTTCTTCCCAAGGCAGAGGATTTGCTAAAGTTTTCTCAGAGCTTTGGGCTTCTCTGAGTGACTTGCATCGTCAGTCTGTCATTTGCTAGCAAGCTAAGAAAGTACTTCTGCGAGCTGGGGATTTAGCTCAGTGGCATAAGCACCTGCCTTGTGAGCAGGTGGTCGTGAGTTCGATCCCCAGTACCGGTAAAAAAAAAAAAGAAGAAGAAAGCACTTCTGGTGTGAATACAAAGCATTCATTCCTGCTCTCCTTTCCCTCGTCCTTGCCGTCTTCCAACTCGGAAGGCTTGGCCTCTTCATTGTAACTCCTTCCACCTCGTCTTTATTTCCCAGCAAGCCTTTAGAGGCAGCGTTTGTGCCAGAAATTAAACTTCATTTTCCTACATTGAGGACTATTCTCAGACCTTGTCAGATCATTTGTAAATATTTGGGGCATGTTTATGTTCACAAGTAAGTTTCTACATTGGCTGTGCCCACCATTCTTGGTTACAGATGGGTTGTTGCCTTAGTAACTGAGCAACATCCATGCTGAGGCCTTTAACACCTGAGTATTTGCTCTGCCTTGTGGCACACAACTTTGATCCATGGAAGACAAAGGACCAGCAGCAGTATATCTAACTGTTAAGTTTAATTTTAGCAAGTATCTTAGCGAAGATGTCCAACTACTGTAATTCTAGATTTCCCCACCCATTGTTACTATAGCACCTGTGCCAATTATAATTGTGTTTGAGCTTCTCCATGGTGATATGATACTTTTGGTGGCCTTCTGTGATTCTCAGCTTTTATAAGCATGATAGGACAGAGGAAAGGAAAAGTAGAACCTAACGTACCAGAAGAGGCCGACAGGTTGACACTAAGGAATTAACGTAGCCTCTTCCTCTTCAGCTTCCCAGCCTTCCCCACCCCCAGTTTGTACCTTTGGTTGGACCAAGTCAGGACTTTGGAAGATACTAGAGATCATATTCTTTCTGGCTCTTTTTACTTATTGCTGTTGCAGATTGGACATTAAGAGAAATGAATTCTGACCCTAGATTTGTTATGTGAATAATGTCACTGGGACAATACATTGCAACCTCTCAGATTTCAGAGCCACCAAATCAAGGTATGCTATGTACCATTTCACTTCAGAAATGGGTTAGATATCAGGAGAGGAGGAAATGTCTGTAATAGGTCTGAGATCCCAACACCACAGGCAAAAAATCAAGTGCCATTTTTTCACACTCCATCATCACCCATGTCTCACTTAGATATCGCCTTCATCTCTGCTGTGGAGTTGAGCAAGATTTCTCCTGGGCCTCTCTCCCATCCTGTCTGTGTATTACCTTGGAAGTATAATTGTCACTAGAGAGCACGAGTTGCTACTGGATAGTTTTACACAGGGGTAACGCCAGCTCAGAAGGAGTTCCCTTCTGCAGCATTCCTGTTGCAGTGGGTAATAGCCAACAAATTAGGTTGTACTAGCCTGAAAATGATGCTGTCCTGAATAGGACTGTCTCCAGGGTCCAGTGGATGCTGGGTACTCCGCTCTGAGGATGTGACTTGGACCTATGACAGACTGTTCTTATCTGTTCTAGCTTTGATATACGACCTGAAGGTTCCTCGCTGGGACTTCCAGACTGGCAGGCAGCTGCGTACTTCTCCTCTGTATGACCGGCTGGATGCTCAAGGGGCCAGATGGATGGAGAAACATGGATTTGAGAGACCAAAGTACTTCGTTCCACCTGATAAGGGTAAGAAGTATCATTTTTGCTCCATTTTCCCTTGGAATGGCTGTTGTAAATGCATGTAGTTGGATGTATTCCTGGAAAAATACCAAAAAGGACTGCTAAGCTACACTAAAGAGTGTAGGAGTCCCCAGTATACAGGGCCTCCTTTCGTTTGCACCTTCTGGTTTATTTTGTTCTGCAGACCTCCTCTCGTTGGAGCAGAGCAAGACTTTCTACAAGCCAGACTGGTTTGACATCGTGGAGTCTGAAGTCAAGTGCTGTAAGGAGGCAGTATGTGTGATTGACATGTCCTCTTTCACAAAGTTTGAGATCACAGTAAGTGTTTGGGATCCAAGTAATAGACTAGAAAACTGCATATTTAGAGGATGCTTCCTGTAGATTGTGTAAGCACTCTGGTCTTTTTCAGGTTTCATTTGTACACATTTTTCTGAATTTGTAGCACCTTTTATCTGGTTTTTAATTTTCCTGGTGGGGCCCACTGACCGTAAGAGCCAATAGTAGCTTTCCCTGTGGCTTCTTACCATTGAATAAATCTGCAATTACTGTTGCATGGGTCCTGGCTTGTGGGATTTCTGCAGAAGGACTCGGGCCATTGGCCGTGTGAATAACCAGGTGCTCTGTGCTCTCTGCCCTGCTTTGTTTGCTCCTCTCCAGTCTACAGGCGGCCAGGCATTAGAAGTTCTGCAGTTCCTCTTCTCCAACGACCTGGACGTGCCCGTGGGCCACATTGTGCACACAGGCATGCTCAACGAGGCCGGGGGCTACGAGAACGACTGCAGCATCGCGCGCCTGAGCAAGCGCAGGTGAGGTCGCTGCCCCCTGAAGGGCAGAGCCCCTCAAGCACTTCTCGGAGACCTGCTTATCCCAGGGACTAGAAGACCGGGTCCTGAAGTCACGGCTGAGCCATCAGGCCCTATGGTAACCAGCAAGTAGCCAGTGTAGAGGCTGGTCACCCGCCTGGAGAGGATCCGTCCTTCACATTAGTCTTTCCTGGCACTAATAGGAAGCCTGAGTTTTGTTTTTCATTATGTAAGAGATCATTCTGCAGAATCTGCCCAGGAGCTTTGAAACTAGATGAGAACTTGTTTCCCAATCCTCTCTCTGCTGTGGCTTTGATTCAATGTCTCCTTTTCAGTTTCTTCATGATCTCTCCAACTGACCAACAGGTCCACTGTTGGGCCTGGCTTAGGAACCACATGCCTGAGGACAGCAACCTGGTGCTGGAGGACGTCACCTGGAAATACACAGGTGAGGGCCTTCAGGCAGGGGCTGGGACAGAGGCAGACATACAGGGCTGTCAGGAATGATGTCAGAGTGAGTGGCAAAGAGGGTCTTTGGTCATGGATAGCTGGCCCCCAACACATCCTCACTTTATTATCCGGGAAGTACAATGTGAGTGCCTTGGTTTCTGTTTATTTTGTTTATTGCCACCTCCCCTACAGCTAGCATGTAGGAGTGCAAGTGTTTGTTGGATGAATGAGTAAAGAATTTTAAACCGGGCATAGTAGTGCACACCTGTGATCCCAGCACTCGGGAGGTGGAGGCAGGAGGATCACTGAGTTTGAGGCCAGCCTGGGCTACAAAGTGAGTTCAGGACTGATATGGACTCTATTGTGAGCCCTGTCTCAAAAAAGTAAAAAAATTTAAGATCTCTTACGCTTATTACCTAAGTAATACAGGCAAGATTTTTCCTTACCTTTTCAATGAGTACGCAATTTCTATTTTGTTTTGAAACAGTCTCACTATATAATTCAGGCTGGCCTTGATTTCACAACAGTCCTTCTGCCTCAGCCTCCCAAGAGCTAGGGATTACAGGTACGCACTGTGACACCCAATTTGAGTACATAATTTTTCAGGATGTTAATTGCTTTTTCTCAGCAGTCCTTGTTGGGGAGTGGTTCCTTCCTTTTCTCCCACTCTGCCTCTGCCAATGTTGATGTCCGCAGGCCTCACTCTTGATTTCTCACTAGTAGCAAATAGGACTCAGTCCTTGTTACCAGGGTGGCACATTACAGAATCTTACTGAGTGAAAGTGGTGGTTCATTCTCATAGCGACTGACATGTTGACTAGCATAAGCTGTGTCACAGACATTAGAGATCCAACCAAGTAGGAGCTGGGGATTTAGCTTAACGGCGTAAGCACCTGCCTTGCAAGCGCATGGTTGTGAGTTCAATTTCTGGTACCAAAACAAAACAAAAAAAGCTAGTTTGAGATCCAAGTAGATAGACAGCTGTCCTTCAGGTACTGGCTTGGAACTGGGGCTATTTCCAGCCACACTGGGAAGAGGATGAGCACAGGAATCTGGGTAGGGAGGGCCAGCCCGTAAGGTGTCTGATAGGCCAGGACTCAGCCTCCTGACCCCATCTCACTGCAGTCAGTTGTCCTGTAAACCAAGGTGAGCTCCGTCAGCAGCCGCATCAGCAGGCCTGTCAGCTGAGGCCTGTGGGCCAGAGTCAGGGGACTTGGCGTCTGCCCTGGACTTGCCCAAGCGAGGAGTCCTTCTAGTAGTCCTGCCACTCGGGCCTGGCTGGCCATCAGAGTCATGTCCTGAACCAGCCTTTCCCACCGGCCCGAGAGTTCACCTGCAGAAGCTGACATCTCTTGTTCTTTCCTGTGCAGCCCTCAACCTAATTGGCCCGCGTGCTGTGGATGTGCTGTCTGAACTGTCCTACGCCCCTATGACTCCAGACCACTTCCCAACTCTATTTTGCAAGGTGGGTGCTAGTAAAGTTTTTTTTTAATGGATAGATTATTTTTATAGTGGTGGCAGATACATATTCTTATTGTCACTGACCTCAACAGTGTTCTGACTTTATTAAGCATCAGAATCACTCATTCTTTTATTTTTCACCATTGAGACTTTCCTTACTTAGTAGAGGTGAATCTTTGGAGTGAGTTAGCTTTCCTGAGTGTCACATCTCTATCCTTACAGTTCTGTTGCAGTGGATTAAAATTTTAAGGGGATTACAACACTGACACTGCAGACCAGGTTTTGCTCCCCGTCCTTGCTTCCTTTCTCACACAGGGCCCCGGCCCCTTCTGTAAGTACATAGCATCTTCACAGGAGAAATTGTGTAGCTGAATCCCTAAGCAACTCACATATTTTCTCTCCTGTTAGTGGCCACTGTAGCTGAGTGAAACAACTTACAGCAGAATAAAAGCTATGATAACTGAGTAGTAGCTGATCACCAAGGACCCAGTAGACACTGGGCATCCTGGAACACTCAACCGTGGCACAGTTACCACAGGGCCTCTGACATTCAAACCAAATTTGGGATCCATCTACCAGTTATCTTTAGTTTCCTGTTTCCTGAGGCAGAAAGGAAGCCACAGAAACCCGTTTTCCAGGAGCAGACCCTCAGGGAGTTGCTTCGCCTGCCTGCCCTGGCTTCCTTTGGCAGTGGTCTGCTGCTGTGCAGCCTGACACCCACTGCTTCCCTTTGCAGGACAGCTCCCGCCAGGGACCTGAGCTGCCTTGGAAATGAGGAGCTGGGTAGCAAATAAGTTGTATTCAGTGGGCACCAGGCACCATCATTTATATGGCAGGTGCCAAGGATTCATCTGTAGGGTCCCCCAGAAAAGACACCTGGCCAGTCCTAGTCTTCAGCAGGACTTAGGAAAGGGAAACAGTTCGTGCTTATCAGAGATGGTGCCACCTTTTCCACTGTGGGCTCGGCCAGCACTCCTAGCACTGTGGTGGTCAGGAGAAGAGATGCTGAACAGGCCATGCTGTTTTCAGGATGAGAAGCCCTCATCCACATGCATCTCCTTAGAGTGAATATGGTGCGGTGTCAAGGAGAGGGTTCCGGTTTGCACTCACTGCTGTTTCTGCCTCTGCAGGAGATGAGTGTGGGCTACGCCAACGGGATCCGGGTGATGAGCATGACCCACACAGGGGAGCCCGGCTTCATGCTGTACATCCCCATCGAGGTGAGGGTTCCTGGGGTCCTGGCCGGGACTCGGGATGGGCTGGGCTGGCTGGGCTGTGGGAATCAAGGTAGGCTGTATGCAAGAGGTTTCATAAAACTACACTGGTGAGTGCTGTCTGACAAGTTCTCACACACTGCATTGGTATTTTGTTTCCATAATGTCAGGGAGATTATCATGCAGGTGCAGGCATATTCAGGGGGAGTTATTAGTGCCCCTGTGAAGACCACAGAGGGACACCGTCCTCCGTCTTGGTTTTTCTACTCAGCAGCGCCTAGAGACTGTTGTGCATGTGCACCTGAGGAGCAAGAGCGTCCCATTTTTGCATTTTCTCTGTGGTGCTGGGGACTGAACCAGGGCCTCACTCCTGCTAGACAAGTGCTTACTGCTGAGCTATTTCCAGCCCTTCTTCTTACAGTATTGCATCTTAGGGTGGAATCATAATTTACTCAGCCAGTCTTTTTTCTTTTTCTGGTAGTGGGCATCAAACTTAGGACCTTGCACTTGTCAGGCAGGTGCTGTACTGCTAAGCTACAGCCCCGGCTCTACCCCACCGTTTTGTGTAATAGACATTTTGGTGTTTCTAGTCTTTGGCTATTATAGCAGATTCTGTGGTGTGGAAGCATCTTTTTTCTTTGTTGCATAAACCCACAGTTGTCAGCCTTCAGGCCCTTGCTAGTCTGTTAGGTGTGAAACAATGTTTAATTTCCCTTACAAGCAAGGCTGTGCGACTTTTCAGAGCCCTTCTCTAGCCAGCAAGGCCTGATGTGGTCTGCGCTTGTCTTCCACCTTGTTGCTTCTCTGCCTCTTTGTTTTCTGCTGGCCTTGGAACATGCTAGATGCCTTCTGCCTGCCTCTGAATTCTTTGCTGTCCTTTGGCCTGTCCTTCCCCAGACAGACACTCCTAAGGGGACAGTGTCTCCTGCATCGGGTCTTACTTGCATGTTATCTTTCATTAAGACCTTATTTCAAATTATAGCACCCCTCCTCTTCCCTGGGCTCCTGCCCAGTCTTTGATGGTACTCAGGGCTCCTGCCCGTTGTCTTTTGTGGTACTCAGGGTTGAACCCAAGGGCACTCTAGAGCTGATCTGTGTCCTCACCCCTTTTGAGACAGGGTCTCACTGAATTGTGCAGCCTGGTCTGAAACTTGTGATCCTCCTGCCTTAGCCTCTCAAGTAGCTGCAGTTATAGGTATACACTATGCCTGGCTTTCCTTCCTTTTTACTTTTTTTGGTAGCATTTAGCACTGTCTAGTAAAATACATTTTACTTATTTTGTTCATCACATCACTTTATACTGTTAACTTTAATATCCCCATCATCTGAGTGTTGGCACTTAGAAAGTACTCAGTAAATGTACTACCATGCCTGGCTCAGAGCCACACTTGTTTTTGAGTCTATATGTTTTGATATTTAGTACTTATCTTGCATTTATATTGGAAAATTCTGGAAAAGAACAATTCCTGTTTTCACTCATGAACTTTTAAAAAAATGAAACAGCAAAAAGTGTTGTGTGATGGTGTATCCCTATAATCTCAGCCACTAGGAGGCTGAGGCAGCAATATCAAGGTCAGCCTGGACAGGTCAGTGGGACTGTCACAAAAACCCAGTTTGTAATTTTTGGATTGTGTTACTTCTATGTGTATGTGTTCTGTGTATGTGGTACTGGGGATTGAACTCGGGGACTTCACACTGAACTCTATCCTCAGATTTTGCTTTCTTTAATTTTATTTTTTTAAAAAAACAAAACAATACAGGAATAAAACAACCGAAATAATATAGGATTTCAAAAAAATAACAGTAAGACAGCTTTTATTTTTTGAGACAAGGTCTGCCTTAAGTTGCCTAGGCTGAGTTTAAACCTGGGATCCTCCTGCCTCATCCTACCACAGTGCTGGGATTATAGATGTTTACTATCATGCGCAGCTGAAAATGGAGTCTTTTGGTGTACTGGATCTTGTAGTCAAACATGTGCTGTGTCATTTCTTGCACTTTTCAAATTATTCGGTGACTTTTCAGAGGTATTTTGAAGTCTTCATTAAAGTTTATTCAGTTAGCCAGGTGTGATGGCACACACCTGTAATCCTAGCACTTGAAGGCTGAGGCAGGAGGATCATTGCAAGTTCAAGACCAGCCTGGGCTATAAGGGAGCGCAAGGCCAGCCAGAACTGCATAGTTAGACCCTGTCTCCAAAAACACAAAAGGGTATTCAATACTTCGTTACTGCAAACAGAGAAGGATGTCTTTGTTCCAAGAGATTCTGTGTGATGTTAGCCTGTTTCTTATGCAATGGTACTGTTGATAGTCTTTATGTTTAGGTGAGTCTCTGAGATTTGTAGGCTTCAGCCTCATCATATGTGACCAGTAATCATGGTTCTTCTAAGATGTGGCTTGTCAGGTGTGGTGTGTGCTCACGTCTGTAGTTACGTATGAGAGCTTGGGTTTTTGCAGCTTGGGCCAGTGCGTGTGGCTCTAGCACAAGTTGGGCATTGGAGCAAGAGAATAAAGCTAGAACTGGGTGGGGACTGAGGTCACCTGAGTGGGTTTTTCAGAAGGTTAACAAGTTGCTGATTATGTGGTAACTGCTGTATACTGAAATCACCTTAGGGAAGTGGAAGGTTAGGATCCTGCTTTGGTGATGCCTGTGGCCAAAGTTGGGGGACCCCAGCTCATTACTCCTGGCTCTAGGCCCAGCTCCAGGATGAGCCGCCCAGGGTTCTATGTACCTCTGCTTGTTGGCTTAGGAGGGCCTCTTGCCACTGAGCTCTCCTCTCTCCTCCCTCCAGTACGCGCTGCATGTGTACAACGAAGTGATGAACGTGGGACAGAAGTACGGAATCCGGAATGCTGGGTATTACGCCCTCCGCAGCCTCCGGATTGAGAAGTTCTTTGCCTTCTGGGGCCAGGATCTAAACACGCTCACCACACCTCTGGAGTGTGGACGAGAGTCTCGGGTGAAGCTGGAGAAGGTACTGTGTTCACCCAGCTGCATTCCAGCAAAAATGTGGCTCTGGGACGGGAGGGAGGGTGATGGGCGGGCGGTGGCACTGAAGGGCAGTGTGTAGCAGGATGCAGGACACAGGACACCGGCCAGGGCTCCTGGCCTCTGAGGGGCAACACTTGGCCAGCCAGGAGTTGCTTCTGGTTTAGTAGTAACATGCCACAGGGATTGGCACAAATGCGTTATCTTACAGTCAGCTCCTTTTTTTGTAAGTGGATGAATGCTGTTTAGAAATGCACAGTGGCAGAGTTCTGTGGGCAAAGAGTGGGCGTCCTTTCCCTGCTGCTTGCGCTGACCAGGTGCTGTCTGCACAGCGCAGCACAGCATCTTGCCAGTTCCTCATGAGAACACGAAACCTGTAGTACTCTTCACCAGCCATTGCATGTCACTGTTTTTCTGTGATATTACAGCAAAAACTCATTTTGGAAAATAGGAAAAATAGAAAAAACTGTTATACCCAGCCAGGTAATCACTGTTAGTTTGCTCATTTCTTATACACAGACATTTATAAATATGTAAGCACTGATACAGACCTGCATGGATTTTTTGGCTGGGATAACACAAACATCTTTAGCCGGGTATGGTGGTACATAACTATGATCCCAGCTACTTGGAAGGCTGAGACTGGAGAACCACTTGAGCTCAGGGATTTGAGGTTAGCCAGGACAACATAGTGAGACTACATCTCAAAAGAGAAAAAAAAAAAAAAGCAATTCTAAAAATTCTGGCAAGTAGTTTTTTCTTTTGGGGGGTGGTACTGAGAATCAAACTTGCAACCTTGCGCTTGCCAAGCAGTTGCTTATGCTGCTGAGCTATATCCCCAGCTCTTCTAGCAACTATTTTTGTTTTCTCTAAATATTGTTCTATGTGGTCTTTATTGACATCTGTTTATCAAATTGAAAAAATTAGGAAAAAAGCCAGATTGGTAGTGCAAAGCTGTAGTCCCAGCACTCTGGGAAGCTCAGACTGGAGAATTGCAAGTTCAAGCCCAGCCTGAGCAACTGAGCAAAACCGTGTCTTAAAAAGCATAAAAACGGTTAAGGAAAGCTCAGTGCAGAGACTGTGATACTGCAATACCAAAACAAAGCAATGTACCCAGCTCTCAGATGGGGGTTCAAAGCCATCTGTGGGCAGCCAGCCAGCAGGACCGTGGGGAGGGCTTCCCTGGTCTCAGCTGCTCCTGTCTCCTAGGGCTTGGACTTCATGGGCCGGGATGCCCTGCTGCTGCAGAAGCAGAACGGGGTGTACAAGCGCTTCACCATGTTCATCCTGGAGGACCACGACACGGACCTGGACCTCTGGCCATGGTGGGGGGAGCCCATTTACCGCAATGGCCAGTATGTCGGCCAGACTACCAGCAGTGCCTACAGCTACAGCCTGGAGCGCCACGTGTGCCTAGGCTTTGTGCACAACTTTTCCGAGGACACCGGAGAGGAACAGGTGGTCACAGCAGATTTTATCAACCGGGGAGAATATGAGATTGACATTGCCGGCTGCCGGTTCCAGGCCAAGGCCAAGCTCTACCCTATCGCCTCCCTCTTTACGCACAAGCGCAGAAAGGAAGACGTGGAGCTGAGTGACTTGCATGGGAAGTAACGCCAGGCCCAATACCACATCTCCGTCATCTCACCTGAGGAGCACCACCGTGAGAGCAGCCCTTCCCTGAATTGCTCTTCCTCACATTTCTTAGCTCCTTGCTATGATTTTGAACTTGACCTGCTTTTCAACTTTTGCAGCCTTTGCCTCCCATCCATGCCTTGCTCCGATTCCCGTGGTGGCAGGAAGTGTACCCAAAAGGGAGGACAGATGCAAGCTCCCCTGTGGAACTGTCAGGGTTGTTTCACAGCAAGGCCGGCAGTGCTAGCTAGGCCGGCAGGGAAGTCATCTCCCTGGGCTGCAGTTCCTCAGAGAGGCCTGCATGTGTGACACAGCCCCGGGAACAGCTTGTGCCTTTTAGCCAGGCAGATCCCTGTCCTGTCCCTTTGCATTGTGGGCTGGCACCCCATACCTCTAGCGAGAGGATGATCATCTACCTCACCAAGGGGAGGTGGCACATGGACACTGTCTTGTCCACAGGGGAGCCAAGCAGTTGCCTGCACCATCCTCATCTGCCCCCTGGAGCCAGTCCCATACCTTCGGGCCAGGGTGCCCAGCCCACCTGGGATTTTCTTCATCTCTTGCTCATCTCTGTAATGAGGTGGTTTTTTGTTTTCTAGTTGCATAAGCAAGTTTGCCAGTGTTGGGAAAACCACATTACCTTGTTATCTTTCATGTTGCTTTTCGCAGCAGAAAAAAGTATGTCAAAAAGTACTGCAAAAAGTATGTCACCATCAGTGCTGGGTTCTCTGCTGTGACAACAGCGCTGCTTTCCTTCCTGCTGTTCAAAGGTCAGTCATCTTTCTCGATTATCTCATGTGACGTGGCCTCCCCTCTGCCCTCTGCCTTCAGCTCACAAACCCAGCATGTTTCCTCCCCTGTAGTACAGGCAGGGGATGGTCAGGGCGGCCAGAGTGAGTGAGTAAAGCTTGGAACTTTACGACCCTGGCATGGAAACAACACAGCCACACAGAGATGTTCTAGTGTTGTGAGTGCAGCGGCTGAGTTTGTGAGGTAGAGGGCCACTTTGTCCGCTAGCCATCCCCAGGCCCTGCTCACTCAGGAGGAGTAGTGTCTGTTTCTTCCTGGAAAAGCCTGGTCACAGACTGAGCTATCCAGCCCAACACTTCATTTCCCCTTGTATATAAACTGCCCTAATCTGTTGGGGTTTTATTATTAGTGTAAAAGAAAAAAAAACCCTGAGAAATCCTCATTCAGCTATGGTCTTCATTGTCATGGTATCTTGGGGAGTGTTGGTGTTGTTAAACCTGTAGAAATATCAAAGATTGTTTCATGAGAGTAGCTTTAACATTCCCAGGTGTCTGCCTCATCTGGCACTGCTGTAGGCCACGTCCCTGACTGGCTCCTCCCAGACATCTTGTTTCCCCAGCTGCCCTGCCTCATGGTTAGTGACTCTTCAGCGTCCATCGATGCATGGGGATCTCAGCTGATTTGTTACAGAAGAGCGGGTAGAACTCCATCTGGGGGCTTTGATGTTTTGGAGCACATGTGCATTTCACTTGCTGAGACCTGCTGCTTCTAGGCAACCAGGAGAGTGCTGAGCAGGCAGCAACAGCCAGGAAGGACCTGGCAGAGGGTGAGCTCTGGGCCAGCTGCATGCAGGGGACAGACGGAAGAGGATGGTGTCAAGTTCCAGGTAGTCACACGCTTTCACATAGGTTTGCACCTCTCCAAATCTGCTTTGTAAACGAGATTTTATTTGGAATTAAATCCAAAAGAAACTGATTTATGCACAGACATTACAACTGTGGCAATAAATATGTGCTTTAACTATTATGTAGAAGTGTCACCGTTCCTAAGTTCCAAACTGAAAAAGTAAAAGCCACCTCAATGTATTATGCACAAAGAAGTGTCACAGAAGTATATTCAAGGTATACTAACGATTGTATCTTTTTGTACTTGTTAATCTCTAGCTAATTACTGTTCTGTTCATTAGCCGTACTAAGTAGGAATGTGTGATACTGTTTTGAAAATCATGAAACTTTCTTCTACTCTAGAGCTAGAAGCGCTGGCCTCCTGTGGCTAATGTTAATCCCCCCACACATAGTGTTTGTCTTGTAGAGAGGGCAGAGGAGGGCCTAGCGCTCAGCCCTGTGCTTTTAAAAACCTCCATAAATAGGGGTCATTCTCTGACTCCTATTCAAGGTGACCTTCTGGGCTATCACTTGTTACCGAGTGCCCTGGACTGTAAAGATTTCGCTTTGGCACTTTATAGGCACCTCTGGTCTCCTCCCTTGGAAGGACAGAGCTTTCCCCAGCTTGCAGTACCTTGTGCACACACTAGCAGGGAAGCCGGCTGGCCCTGATGGGAGCACTGCGAACAGATTCTTCCTCCCCGACTCCCACCCCGGCAGGTGCCCACTACTGAAGGCAGATGCTGCAGCTCCCTGGGCTGCTGCTGAGATGCAACAGATCTGGAGGATGCTGGCAGTTATAAGGACAGATAAACACAACATCCTCGCATGTGTCATCCAATCTCTCAGACACTGAGGCCATAGAAGCTCACCCTGTGAGACAACATACCAGTGTGAGTCAAGGAATTTGGGGCTTTAGGTAGCTGGGTACTCTTTTTCTCTGAAACTGTCGGCGAAGCACTGCACATTCTGTTCATTTGCCAGCAAAGTTTCCTAGATGATCTTTTTGAACCTAGAAACAGTATGGTGGCCTTAAACCACTAAGACTCATTTCCCAGGAGGTGTTCTGCAGTGTTGCCATGGCCCTTTGACTTGGGCTTGTGGAGCAAGCCTGCCCCTCCGTTACGCTGCTATGGTGGTGACAACAGCCCTAATTCAGAGTGCTTCGGATGCTTTAAGAGCTAAAAAGGGACAACAACCTACTGCTTAGATCACTTATTTGAGCTCTTTTAACCATATGTAATAGCACTATTTCCCATGCTGCTCCAGAAGTCCCTGTACCCCTAAATATGGGAGAGTCCAATCAGGCCAGGGATCATTTAGCTCCATGCTAAATCCCAGCTTCAGTGTGACCTCAAGAGCTGCCACCAGGTAGTGTGGGCTCCCTGGGATGTCTTTCCTGGACACACAGGAATCTTACCTGTTCTTTTTCTTTCCTAGGCTGTTTCCAAGAAAGTAATTAAAACATGAGAAATAAGTCCCCCGCTCTCAGTCCACTGCCCTGCTTTACAGGTACTAAAAGTGGCAGCACAGAGCAAGTGGTAGGTGTGTTCTTAAGAGATGCTCACAGCCTTGACAGTCGTCTCTGTACACCCAGTCAGTGACTTACGGCATCTGAATGTGTCTTCACCCTCCTCGAGGGACCCAACACATGAGGGAACCTCAGTAGCCTCCAGTCGCAGCGAGTCCTGGGAGACCGTGTCCTGCAGAGCACTCATAGTGGGCTGCTTTCAGGGCTGAGCTACTGGTTTGTGTCTGTGGCTTTGATGCTCCTTGGCCAGGGCCCTCTCTAGTATCTGTGGCAGCTCTGATCACCACGGGGCACCACTGCAGAGCCACTTCAGTTTCCCTTCTGCACCCACCCCCGAGTGCTGCTACAAGCACAGCAGCACGCAGCACGGGCACGTTTTCCTGTGCTGGACTTAATGGCAAGCACCCAGGTTCAGGAGGAACAGTCAAGCTGTAGCACACACCTGGGCTCTAGGGAAGCAGCGAGCCAGGGTCTGCTGGGCTCCACCTGAAGGTGCTGAATTGTGAGCCCTCTTGTTCACGTCACCACACTGCCCACCACTGTGGTCTTTCATCACTGCCACTGCGGTTTTTCACAAAAACTGAGTATTTTTTACATCTCTGCCTTCTTTGTTCACTCAGTATCATGGTTGTTTCTTGTATGAGTCTTCTCCAAGCAGAGAGCATCTGTTGCAGAACTATGCATCATTTCTTCATGGGCCATTTTTCTCATGACAGACAAAATGTTTTTAATCCTTTGTGAACGCTGCCTTGTTCTTTTGTCTGTAAAGGACAGAAACTACTAGGAGAAAGGAGGATATTTTTAGTATCTACTCAAAAATCTTATGTCCGCATTTCTTTTGCACATGAAGACTGCGGCTCGGAGCACCTTGTCTGACTCCAGTTCTATCTCGTGCCTTACGCCCCAGAGCCACAGTGCTGGGTGAGGGCGAAGGACGGGAAGCGCGCTGCGGCCCGGGGGGTGAAGCTCTGCAGCTGTGTGCAGGCCACATTCTTCTCTGCCCGAATCGTGGGGTGCACAAACCCACCACTGTAAGGACTGTGAAGTCCAGTGACGACATCTAGAGTGAGCCCCTCTGCGTTCTAGGTCATCCTGAACACCTGCAGCCACCTGGGTAAATGGGGTCTTTTCCCAGGAGCCCGGCTGACTGGATGCACATGGTGGTGGAGTGCTTCTGCCCTCCTCGAACATACGTGACACTGTACTATATTTCTAGCTGGCTGGCTTTCAATGAGATTTTCATGTTACTAGGTATGAACATGAATAAACATTTTAATTTCCCTTGTCACACCACCTGTGGAATGTCCTTCATCTGCCCTAACTTGGTTCAGTGTATCTGCCATCACACAGGATAAATACCATCCATTTGTACCTGCAATACAAGAGTGTAAGAAAGACTTTGGAAATGGAGGTAAGGATGCAGCCTGGCTCTGACTCCATCTTTTGCTGGCATGGCTGGGGTGAGCACACCTCCCTCACACAGCTACTGGTGCTGTCACTGCACCTGATGTCCATTCCCCTGCTGAGTCACAGCAAGCACCTGGCACTTCGCACATCACCCTTGTGCTGGTGTGGAAAGCATGTGTGCATTCTTGCTCATGAGGGAGAGAACTCTGTCCAAGAAGCAGGCAGTACCTTTCCCATCCCTGGCGTCCACACACAGGTTTAGTCACAGGGTTTTCTGTTTATTGCACTGCTACACGGGAGAATCCCAGGGGACCTACTCTCACGGATTTCCTTACTTACACTGCACGCCATTGCCACAGGCCACACAATGAAGGTCAGGGAGCTGACTGCCTCTCTGTCACTACTGCACTTTGTCCCGAGGCACAGGATAATATGACTTAAACCCGATACCATGTGACTAAAATCCTAATGGACAAATGCCCTGCTGTCCCTGCTCAACAAGGCACAAGAAGCCATACCTATCCACATACAGAGCTCTGGTACTGCGACCCTGATAATGAAGTGACCACTGGTGGCCCCCAGCCTTTCGGTCAGCGGGACACACTGTGGAGGGAAATGGCTGCCCAAAAGGCCCAGATGTGCAGGGCCCCTGGCGAACATTTTCAGCAACCATCTGTGACATTAACATAGCATGCACACAAGGAACGGGGCTCAAAGACCCAAGAAGAATGAGGTAAAAAATCCAACATCTAGAAGGAAGCCATTGTGAAGATGTAACTTGAAAGAAGAGGGGGAAAAAAAAGAGTGGTTATTTGGTGGGGGAAGAGGTTGAGGGGGTCCCAGAAAGAGGCTAACAGTGCGGCAGCGTGAAGCCTGTCGGCTCCCTCATCAACCTGAGGGAAGTGACACAGCGCTGGTTTCTATGGGCGGGGAGCACGTGGCCATCGCTGTGAACTCCCCTCCCCTCCCCTACGTTAGCCATGAGGGCACTAACACATTATCATTAGTTTCCTGAAACAAACTGATTTGATATAAAATGGGCTCCTAGTTAAGATAGTTAATATGGCCCAATGTAAACAGAGATGGGGCATTCAAGGATTACAATTATCAACCTTTATAATGGGGTGACAGCCGGGTGTGGAGGTGCACATCTGTAAGCCCTGTCTTTGGGGCTGAGGAAGAAGGATCACTGTGAGTTCAAGGCCAACCTGGGCGACCTAATGCCACCCTGCCTGGAGCAAAAGGGAATGGCATGACTAATTCTCTGATAGTCCACCTTTGTCTGTTCGTTAACAAGAAGCCAACCACATTCAGACCCCCTTATGATGGATTACTTCCTACTGACGGCACCCCAGGCCTGACACTCAATGTTATTAAAATTATTCTGATCCAGTTTGGACCTGGTAAAGATGCACTCACAGGCTGCGGCCTGACTCAGTGCCTTCCCAGCACCTCTGCAGTTGGCCTGCACTGCTGAGGGCCACCACCCGCTTCCAGCCACCGGTGGGGCTCTCCACGGCTTGGTCACACAACAGAGATCTAGCTCCAAGAGCCTAGGTACGACAAACACTACACAGGACAAGTCCTCTCCCAAGGACATTCATTGGACACACGAAATAAGGACATTTAAGTTGAGGGTTTCTTAGTATGTACTTTTGAGTTCTGGAAGCAATGCTTCCCATCCTCATTTATATTTTTATAATGCCTCCAGGACCTAGACCACACATGATGCCCATGAGGTGTTCTGTACCTACTAAAGCGACAGGACTGAGCAGGCAGACTGGCACACAACTGTAACTATTCTGGGAGGCTGCGGCAGAAGATCTGAAGTTTGAGTCCAGGTTACTCCCCTTAACAAAACCCAGTCTCAAAACTAACAACAACAAAAAAATCATACTGGACTCTTCCATATCTCTGATAAGTTCCAAATATTAGTTTAAATCAGCAATGGTGAACTTTCTGGAGCTTTTAATGGTAAACAACTGGTTGCAGCATGAGGACCACAGGTTCACCACACTGGATTACTTGAAAGACAGTGACATACTTAAACGCAAGGTTCCCAACTTCCTTACTTGGACCCTTACTAATAAATTTTTTATCTTCACCTCACCTCGAAAAGGACAGAAGCCAGATTAAGAGCACACACACTCCTGGGATTCATTACTCACAGATTCACCTACAACCCAGGCAACTGTTCACCTGTTCAGGACCCAACCAAAACTTGTACCCAAGCCAGGGACAGTGGCACACTCCTGTAATTTCAGCATTATGAGAGGCTGATGCAGAAGGATCTTATATTTGAGCGTGTCTGAAAGTTCACTGCACAATTTTAAGATATCACATAGTTTCACTTGCGTGAATAACTCAAAGTATAAAATACAAAACAAAAGGTAATACAAATGAGGAGGGGATCCAGAAATGCAGCAAGGGGAACAGAGAAAGGGAAATACAAAGCATCAAGATAAATTAAGTACAGGTACCTATTTCCCAAGATAAATGTAAATATGTACTGCAAATGTACCAAAGATGGGGCAGGAAACTCAGTGTGAAGACCCTGGGTTCAGGCTCCAGTGCTCAGCTGGAAACGAAGTCACGAGTGGAAAGAACCACGAAAAAACGTGTTGACCTTGTACTCATCATGATCTCCAAGGAACTGAAGAGGTGCTGGCAGAGGGCAGACAGCTTAAAATAAACAAGGAAGGAAAGGGAGGCACCAGGCTCCTCCCACAGGTTTGACAGCAAAGGAGGGAAAAGCAGGAAAGAAGACAGCAAGATGCCAGACTCAAAGAACCACAGTGGCCTCTGGTTTACAAAGAATTTATGTTCTGTTTTAATTTCTTGAAACTGTGTAGTGTTTACTGAGTAAAATAACTTCCGCTAAACCATCTTTGGACCAGGGTTCATGCTGCTCAGATCTGCTTACACCAAGCCCTGCAAGCACTAACGTCCTGAACATCAGCATTAGCAACAGGTGGGATGCTGGTTACACGAAGACCGGGTGAGTGTAGGTAAATTAACTCACTTCCTGCACAGGCAGCACAGCCAGCCACCGCAGAGTCCTGCTTTTTTGGGAGGATCCCTGGTACCGATAAAAAGGAAAAAGACAAAAATTAAAAAAAAAAAATACTCTGGAAAACAAAGGGAGGAGGGTCACAATTTCAGCCCACCCTGGCCAACCTCAAAACTTAAGACCCTCTCTGAAAAAATAGGAAGTACTGTTGGGGCGGTGGTGCTCGCCTGTGATCTCAGCTCTCTGGAGGCCAAAACAGAAACACTAGGTTCACCACTAGTTTGACTCCAGCCTGACCTCAGAGCCAGCTGAACGAGGTCTAAAGTGCACAGGGAGACTATTTAAAAACAAAAACAAACCCCTAAAATCATAAAAAATTGCAAGGGCTGGAGATGTACATCAATCAGTGTGAACACCTCGGTAAAATCAACAGATTTCCAGGATCCAGCAGGCCTGGAGTGCTGTATTTTATAGTGAGTGCGGCATATCAAAACAGTCAATAAAAACTAACACAACCCCTACCACGGTGAAGACGGAGCCTGGAACAGTCTCCTCACCACACTTCCCCCACAGACCTCCCTCTGCAGCTGCTTCTCTGCGCGCACTTAACCGGCCTGAACTGACTCAAACCCCAGTGGCAAGCACAACAGTCCCAAAGTGTCACACGTTATAGAAGAAAGCCCACTGCCCGGCCCAGACCTTGCCAGCTGATTTCTTCCGCCCGCCTCTGCCGCAGTCTAAGAGTTGGCAGAGCTCGATTGCACCTCATGTTCCTGAGCGGGAAAACAAGTTTCCCTGCAGAGACCCACGGCCCGGCCAGCCAAGCAGCGAGGGCGCAGGCCTGGGACACGCGCGGGTCGCCGAGGACCAACAACTTTCAGAACCGAGTCCTGGCGCCAGCAGGTCCTTGCCCGAGCAGAAGCGACAGAACCGACCGGCCACGGGAACAGTGGGACATCACGGCCAGAAGACAGCATAAAGCGAGGACGCCTAGGGTCTGGGACGCCCAGGCCGCGGGACACGGAGGCCACACGGCCCCGCAGCTGGCTCCTTATCTCCCGTGCCGCGGACGCCCCGCTCAGCGACACCCTGGCAGGAGCGAGGCAAACACCACAGCCGTAGGGGGTCGTCGCGGACCGGACCGGAAAAGGGCTCACAGGACATGAGAAAGACGCGGCAGGAGGAAATAAAAGTTCCGCGAGCCCCGGGACAGCGACCTTCCGCGCTTTACGGCCGGGCAAGGGTACGGCGAACGGGCCAGCGCGCACGCGCTGACGTCAGGCGCGGCCCGCCCCCGCCACGTGAGCTTGTTTGGGTCTCGCGAGGCCCCGCCCCCGGGCACTGGGCCTCGGTTGGCACCTGGTGGTTTAGAGGGTGGCGTGGGGACCTTGCTCCCTCGAGTCCGCGCCCGACCTTACTCCTGCTGCTTCCCCGCTGGCCGTGGCTCGGAGCCTTCGACGGCGCCCGGACAAGTCGCCTCCCGGTGGCGCAGCTGTCTTCTTCGAGGGCTGTCAGAGCCGCCAACGGAAGTGTTGGCCGCCTTTCCCGCGCTCCGAAGCCGGCCCTCTCGGCGCGAACCGCAGAACCGGGGAGCACACGCAGCTGCATTCCCTGCACCGCGGCCAGGCCATCTCTCAGGGCTCCTTCCTGAAAAGGACCTCGTCGAATGGAGACGGCACCACTGCACCTGGGCCGTGCTCGCCAGGTCCCATTCCCTGGATCCAGCCCATCTTACCACACACGCCGCCGATCATGAGTGTTATTGATGGCTGCCTGTGCCCGGGGACTCTGCCAGGTGGTGGGTACAGCAGAGCACGGGGAAGTGAGGCTCCCTAAGAAAGTGACAGGAAAGCCCCAGAGAGCCCAGGGTA